AAGAAAGCATGAAATGCGACACAGGTTAACGCAGGCGCGTAATTTCGCTGAGAATTAAAAGAAATAAATCATGGGGAATATATTTGGGTGATAGGAGGGTGTAGAATTATTCGTTGCACCGTCTTTTCAGCCGAGCATCGCGATTAATATCATCTGATATTAATATGTACACGTGAATCCAGGTAAATGGCTGAATGAATCTGATTTCTGGCAATCTGATTTCAGATTGCAGCGTTCAACTGCATTTAATTGTATACAATGTGCTTTTGAATTACGTTACTAATTATATATTGTTGAAACTATATCGAAGATTTGTAATAATGTTTCTTATTTTTTAATTACTTCAATTTCCTATTACAGGAATCATCTTTAATCATTTAATCAGTTAATCATCTTTAAACAAATTTTTTATCTATTTTATAAATTTTATGAACTTTAGAATAATCCGACAGGAAAAATTTGAAAAACATTTAGAGATTGTAATATTAATAAAAAAAGATTATATATGTTATATTTAAATTCTGTGATATTTTATATAATACCATAATTTATTATATTCATGTTAATTTTGTTTTTAGATATTATTATTATTATGTCAAACCATCGGATTGTAAAGATTAATTAATAACGAATACGTGTAATAATAATTATAAATAAAATTTGAGAATCATGTTTTGTAATATTATTTTGTTCATGATATCAAAAATATTTATATTTTAAATTTACAAATTAAAAAAATGGTATATTATTAATATGTTGTATATTATTAAATATACATTTAATTTTGTGAAGCATAAAGTAACGAATGAAAAGTGAAGAATTATTAAAATCAGTCAGTTTTAAACGAAATAATCATATGTATCATTTAACATGTCTTCAATTCTCTACGCAATACAAAAAAAAAAAAAAAAAAACAAAAATACAAAAGTGTAAAAATGAAAAAATATGGAAAATTTATAAATATGCATATCGCGATAATAAACAGAAAAAAATAAAGAATATTTATATATATTTATAGATAAAACATGTGTTCAAAACATATAAATATATTGCTTTTGGCTTATCAGCTTACTATTTGCAATTTAATCGATGTTTTCAACCAAGAATTATTTTTAAACATTGAAATTGTTTGTATAAAAAATAATTACGTACCTTGAATTGCAAATTTATTTATTTATTTATTTTTTTACCAAAAAACAAACCATGTAAATATCGAAGAAATTTTATATTTTCTATTTAATATTTGACATATTTAAAATGGTTACACTATTTAATTTATCCTGTAGTTGTTTGTAACTTATCAATTTTCTAACAACGACCTCAACTTCATTTTGCAAACTTATATGAAACTTTTCGAATATCTATAGTAAAACTTCTTCCTGTTTGCAGATCACTTCTATATAAAGGTTGAAACTAGAAAGCTTTTGATCTATTACACTTCCTAATTTAAATTCAAGTTATGTTGCCTGTGCACTTGTATGCATTGCAAGCACAGATTCTATATATAGTATATTAATGAATAATATTAACGAAATTGATAAATATATAATTCAACAATTAAAAATTTAATTTAAACAATTTAATCATACAATTCAAACTTCAATCACAGAAATTTAAACCAATATTAATATATTTACAATATTTATTTTAAAAATATAGAAAGTATTTTTTGCAATGAAAATCATAATTACATGTATCTACCTTTCAAACTCATTATAAAAACATGAAGAACCAAAACGTATCTTGAATAAAACACCAAGTAACATTCCATCCACTAAAACTAATTTCCAATATTTCTTCCTCACGAGTCAACACACCAATGATCTATCTCAGAGTTTTTTAACAGAAATTATGTGAAATTCTTTTCTTCTAGAAATTCTAACACGAAGAAAAAAATGAAATTGATTTACAAATAAATACAAAATAAAGCCTCGATTATCCTAAATATTTATTATCTCAACAATATATTACTACAATACAATGCAAGAACACGGCATATGTCTCAAGACATAAAAGAAAAAAATCTATTGCAAATCTATTCATGCAATTTATCTATAAAATTTCTAATTTTAATATAAAAACCCTTATCCTACCTTAGTTACATCCCAATTTCGCATAAATTAATCATACATTAATTTCCTCTCTTAAATATACTCTTTTACTTACTTTGACAATAACAGCTTCCATTGTATCCATCTTTTATAATAAATTCAAACCTTTTCGAACAACAAAACAAAACAAAAAAAAAACAAAGAAAAAGCACGCATGAATAATCCAGCGTTCAGAAGAGAGATCGAGGAAAAAAATATTGAGAAATCCTGCTCCACTCGGAAACTCGGCCCGTTCCGGGGATCAGGACATCGGTTTCCTGATCGAAAAATAATGCTGTTTCGCGACAACGGTATTATCTTTCCGCGGTCGTCGTCGTGACGCGATTACAAAGTTGCCGCCAGTTTACATCGAATATTATTAATATGCATGAGCGAATCTTACGAAGCTTGCGCACATCTCGAATCCTCGTGCATGAAAGATATATATGTGTATATACATATGTAAAAAAATAAGGACGAACGAAATTTTCCCGCGTTTTCGTGATTTCTCCTTCGTTTCCAGGGCAACGTTCTGGAATTCCCTGGACGGATCCGTGGCAGGAATTCGAACGCGGGTCGAGTGATAAATAATACTGTTGGGAGCCCCGTCGTGTTTTATGCATTCGAATCGCGAATGGTCGGCGGCCATTTGTACGCGCCATCCCTACTCGCGTTGGGGGGAAGTGAGAGGGGAGAAGTTTCGAGTTTGCTCGATCGATCAGCTCTCGATTAATTGAAGAGTAAGGACGTGGAAAAGATTGTGAGCAAGCAAGAGAAGGGAAGCTTTGAAGGAAAAGCTTTGTCTTTTGGCTATCGAAGAAATATAGGATTTTTTATTATGGAAACGAGGTTTTTATATTATACAACGTTGGTCGGATGGACTTTTTATTTTTATTTGAATTATCGATTATTCAGAGGGATAAAAGAAACGTTATGAGAGAGACTTTTCGTTTCAAATTTTTAAGTATTCGTGAAATTTTAAAATTTTATTTTATATTATAGAATATTATAAGAGAGAATACGAGAAATTTGGGAATAGTTATTCTAACTCACGATCCTTCCATTATTCAATTTTACGAATTACCACGGTTTTATGCACGCGAAAAAGCGATGTTCTCACGTTTCCGTTTTAGTGTGTCGATTGATGAACGATTTTCATCGGTGTGATTCGGTATTTAGTCCCTGGAAGCGTCTCGAGACGTTTGGAAAAGGTGAATATGAAATATCGCGTTGAATGGATCAAATGGATTTCTTACGATACACCGTTCGTATCGAAGCTTAACCTTATAGCCTTAGATATGCAGGGTGTTGGAAAGTTCACCTTTAGTGAATCTATTCTAAACCAACCAAAAAATAAACACAAAAATATTCTCTTCGATATATCGTACAATATATATATCTCCTATTGTACACTCTTCTTTGAAAAGAAATCCATTTGCACATTCTTATAAAAAAAAAGGAAAAAAATATTCCAACACTTTTTATTTAAAATATTAACCATATTCTTACATATCATCTCTTGTGTTTGCAGCTAGAATCAAAGATATCCCATATTTTCACAAATCTAATTACAGAGCGATCGATAAAACTCAAGTATCGAGATCTAGAAAGAGTTATTTTAAAAGATTCCAAAAGAAACGCAGCGAATGATTTCTCTCAATCATCCCTTGTTGTAATTCGGCTTTCCATCAGTCATCAACTCCGCTTCACAAACTCAAACAAGATTCGAAGTTTCGAGGAATGCGTTAACTTTGCGCGGATGATGAAAATAATTAATTAGATCGTACGGATGAATTGCACGATGCGTTGGCCACAACGGGATCGAAATGGCGAGGAGTTGGGGCCCGCTATGATTCCATTAAGACACGAACTTGCGGAATTTTCGACCGAGAACGATTCGCACAACGATTCGCACAACGATTCGCGGATAACTCTAGTATGACGAGAATTCGAGCTCGTAAAACGCATGGATATTAATGGTTACAGGATGAATTCAGAAATTTCTGAATTGCGCGGAAACTTCCTCGAACGGAGAAGCGCGAATTAATTTAGTGGAAAAATTATTTTGAAGTAGAAACGTCATAGAAGTTAATGACGAAAAACAAGTTGTTGGGTACGATTTAATTATCGTAGAAGGTAGAAAGCTTTTGCTTGATTAAATTTTGTTGACAGTTTATTCTTTTAGAGGGAAGAATAATTAAATGTATTAATGAGATGTTATAGTATATTTTATTCTATACTAGGTTTTAAGAGTAATTGTCTTCTTTCGGAATGATCTTTTGCTTTCTAGGTGGAAAAAACAAATAGAATTGGAATATAAATAAATAATTTACTCGAATAGAAAAGTATGAAATGTTTTTCCTTACATTAAATATATTATCCATATTAAAATTCACGTTAAAATTAAAATATCCAAATCCAACTATCTTCTCAAAACGTATTTTTAACATTCTCTTATCTCTTAATTATAAAACCAATATATATATAAGTTCCAAAAACTCGAGGAAAATTCCCATAGGAGAATTACTCTTTAAAACTTCAACTTCATAAGAATATTCGATAAAAATTTTATCGATCGAAGATTCCCCCAAGAGGAAACTATTACCTCTTGAAACTTGATATTCCGAAAAAAAGATTCTTAAAAATCTCCTACCTGCATCATAACACAAACATAAAAATCGTCATCTGTATTTTACTTTTTTTTTTTTTTTACACAGAAACACGATTTCACGATGAGACTTAATTTGAAATCACCTCGACAACAAGAAAACAACATCGTACGTACATACCGATATTTACAAGCATTTCTGAAGGCAACCCATCGTGAAAAAAATGTTTTTCCACGCGAGAGTGGGAATTGCGCAGGGCTATTCGCTGTTCCATCCGGTATGAAAGGAATTTTCTACTCACGTGTTTGGTGGCAGTGTATCCGGTGATCTGTTGAAGCTTGCTGCTGACCACCTTCGTCCCAGTCTTGCCAGGGCTTTTCTCGCTCTTGTGCCATATCCCGATCACAGTCACTATGAACGCCACCACCGTGATAATACCGATCAACAACGACAATGTCACGATCTTGCTACGGGGCGATATTACCATCGCCATTTTTCCCCTCGTGTTTCCTCGCCAATTTTCCGTGTCACCCCCACCTTGCCCCTAGGAATCGTCGATAATCGGTTTTATCTTTCAACAGAACGGGAGTGGAAAGAAAAACGATCGATCAATATAAACGATTCGATTAACATCAATATATCATTTATGTATACATATATATCTAGGTATATGAATATATATATATCTCTCTCTTTTTTTGTTTCTCTTTGTTTAAGGGAAATAGGAGCGGTTACTAACTAGAAATATTTCTCTCTCACACGGCCAACGATTTTTCAACTTAAGGCTCCCTCCTGTTATTATAACTTTATCACGTCCTCGTACTCGAATATCGACGACGTGTCAGCCGAGTCCTCGTGGACCCTCCTTAAAGTCATCTGGCAGAGTTGTACGGATCGATTTCCCAACGAGATCGATCCTTCGATCCACACCACACCCACTTTCGTCGAGCAGCCGTTTCGAATTTCTTTCTCCCTTCCTCTCCCTTCCTCTCCCGATCCGATCCTGTCCACCTTCGATTCGATGCTCGATTCGACGCTCCCTCGGCTCAACTTCCGCTCCAACAATTCACCAAGCTTTCCAGTTTTCCTCGAAGGGGAAACTTCCTCGAGGAGACCTGTTTGCTCGTGTTTGGCCGGGATTCGTCATCCACTCCCTACAATTCCACAACTTTCCACGAAACGATCTTTCTTGATCGCGGGTTCGATCTCGATTTCGAAAATATCGCGGTGGATCCACTTTTTGAAATTTCTCCGGGAGATTCTATCGTGGACTAAGAACGATTCCTTGGGGACAAGTTTCTTGGGGAACTTTGGGGAATTTCTTAATCTTCTTCGTAATTTGCAAGCACATCCGTGTTAAAACCGCGCATTACGATCCTCTCGCGCAATCCCTTACAATTTTTAATCAAGTTAAATCGATGTTGCTCGTATCTCCGTTTGTATATTTCATCCTCCGTTCTTTCTTTCTTTTTATCGCACGAGGAAGATTCTTAATACTAATCCGATCGTAAAAACTCCGTTTCATTTACTATATTTACTCACTTTGAATTTTTATTTAAGAAAAAAATATTATTGAAAAAATTTTGCAACTGCTTTTCATACACGGATACGATGATCGTCAGATTCACTTCTTTTCAATTCCATACAAATTTTTCCCTCTCCCCTCCCCTTGGAGAGAAATGAAGAAACAACCTCCTTCGAGGTGCTAACAACCTCCCCCCTCCACCCCTTTTACAACCGAACGAGCAAACAAAACCCTATTTCTTCCTCTTCCTCTTCTTCGATCACGTTCGTCCGTGTCCGTTTTCATAACACAACAATAAGGCTTCGTCGTTCGCTCGACACGGTCGAACGTACAATGTTTTCAGTTTCCACGGCGAATTCCACGAGGGGACGTGTTCGATGGAGGCGCACACTCGCGAGGATCAACAAGTTTAAACGGGCGCAGGGGATCAACAACAACGAGTCGCGATAAATTCGTCTGAATAATCAACAATAAAGTTCCACGGGGGATTGTTTCAGCAACGAGAGATACATCCTTTCCAACTATTTCCAACTCGGTCGTTCGGGGATAGGTTTAACGAGGGTCTCGAAAGACCCGTGGCTTCGCCGCCCCCAACTCGTTCTCCGCGAGTCCTCGTTCCAATGGACCCTCTCTGGTCTCTTCGAGGGATGGTATCAATCGCCGTGGAAAGCCACTTTCCTAGATGTTACGAAAAACAACCACACGTCACGAATTTTCCAACCAACGTTACAGGCTTGATGGGGATTCGAGAGATTCTCGGTGGATTGTTGCGAGAGAATACGAGAATCGAAGGGAGGAAGAGAAGTTTTGGTGGCTGTCGGAAATTCGGATGGTGAAACGCGAATATTGGAGTTGAAGTTGAAATAAATTTCCTAATTTGATTCATTTTTACTCCTTCTCTCTATTTGAGAGTGTCTTTCCTTGAGTTTGAGAAAAGAGGGGATTATGGATTTAAATCGTATTACGTAGAATTTTATGAGAATTTTTATATCCCTTTTTCGTGATCTTTTAAAAATATTAAGTCTAAGAGTATTTGAAAATTGATGAACTGTGTTAATTAAATTTAATATCCATTTCCTTATTGAAAATTTGATAATCTGTATCGAAAGTACACGGTACAAAGATGATATAAATTGATAAATTACTTTTATAGAAACTTGAGAATGGATGTAAAGGATCTTCTCGAAATGAGAATTTAATCGCTTTAAGAATGGCCTAATTCGCTTTCGGTAATCAATCAACATTTTACACCGAATAGATAAAACTGATAATTTGATATTCGTTAATAAGATTGTACATTGAGACGTTAACGAAGATAAACCGTTTTTGGATAAAGTTTTATATAACAATCCCTTAGGATTAATGGAAAATTACTAATATTCCTTTAACGCTTATCATTTTCCACTCTATTTTATTCTGAATTACAAAAAAAAGTTCACTTTTTTCAAAACGACACCATAAAGTAAGTCCAACGATCTCTATTTTCAAAGTAAGATCTTATATTCTTATCTAATTACAAGTCTCGTTAAATAATCAATCTTATTCGATGAATTTAATTTAGATTTGCTTTAATCTGGATTGAAACTTAACCAAAATTAAACGTAATCCTTCGATTTAATCTACTTCTTGAGTTTTGGGACCACGTTTCCAAAGAATATTTTCAAAATCCCAAATTCTCCATTTATCCCACTTTTTCGATATTTAAAATGTTCAAAATCGTGACAATAGTTACACGCTACAATCCAACAAAACTCGATATTTGCTATAACAATAATTCATTTATATTTATACGCAAATCTCACCTTTTTTTTTTCCTTTTTATTTCGTCGACCAACACGGTTCGACACTCGAGAACAAAGCGAGATTCGTGTCTTGACGCGGTGAAATTTGGCCGCGGACAAAACGCGAATTAGAGGCGTGGAGAATCACGGTGGGGGCGTGGCGGATCTTAAACACAGGGATCAATTTCCCTCGACCGTGTTATCGTGGCCGCAGCACGGTAACGGCATTTTCATTCGACGAGCATCGCCCGTTATACCGGGGGAACGCTATTTTCATTTTGCAAGGTAAAACGCGGATGCTGCGGCCGCGCATGCTAATGGTATCGAAGGACCGTAATGAAAATGAGGGACGCATTAAGCTGTGTTCCAACCACCGTGAATTTCGACTGTGACGACTCGTTTCTCTGCGACATGAACGCGCATTCGTTAGTTGAAAGAAAATCGTATATCGCCGAGCGTATATAAAATTAACGTTAAAATTAAGCATTACTTCGTTTTCCTCGATCGAGAAAAATTTCGTCGAGAACATCGTGTGATCTCGTTTTACAAATCTCGTTTTTCCAATGAAAAATCTTATATATTTTGAGGAAAGTTTATGTAGAAGTATAATGGATGGATATCTTGAGGGTCTAAGAAGTTAAAACAAATGCAAAGTGTCTACTTTTGTAAAAGCTAAAAATGGAAAATATTTAATCGATGCATATGTGTCATTAAAATCCATTCAAGAAATAGAGGGAAGTATGCTTATTGAAGTTGCTTTTTGATTCATTCCGATATCTCAATTGGTTGCTGAGATATAAGAGCTTGAAGTACAATATGGAGTTTAAGAATGGAATTGTGACTCGTTAATCTATATTTCTTCTTGAAAATGCACTTTCAGGAATCGCGTCTGTCACTCGTCTGAAGTTTAAAATAGGTCAGTGAGACGAGGTGTGAGCGAGAGATCCAAATAAACGACAAAGATGGAGATAGTAAATGATCAAAAATTATTTTTTTTTTTTATATGATTCGATATATCTCAGGAAGTCATGTCGAGAAAAGTTAAAAAGTGTTTTAAAAAGAAAGGATCCTCGCTTCTAATGGTCGTTCATTCGTTGATATCTTCAAAGTTATAAATATATCTTCTAAGTTTAAAGTTTTTCTAATTTTTAATAGACTTTAATCAAGTTTTAAGATAACGTGATAGATTACGTGATAGATACATTTATTTATATTAAAAAAGAAATTGAAGGATTGAATTGAGAAGATTTGAATTTAATTGTAAAAGATATCATATGGAAGTGAATAAATTTATATTGAAACAATTTCTGGAATATAATATTTTTCTTTCTCACATATATATATCTATATATTGTTATTTGTATTTATATTATTTATGTTTTACACAATTAACAGGCAAATATATTAAAATATAATGATATTTATCTTGGAAATATTAGAATATGGATTTTTAAAAAATAAATTAATTCTATTATGAATATAAATTTGATAAATCTTTATTGAAATAATATTTATATTAATTAATAAATATAAAAAATTTTTCGTTTCATTATTTTGGAATATCCATATTCATGAGAACATTTAATTAATGGAATAATAATTAAACAATATTTATAAATTATATAAATTTCAAGAAATATATACATATTATCTCATTGATAAGTATTGATTAATAAAACTATTGTCATTTTTCAATGAATTCAGTATTTTAAAAAATGTTTTCAATATTTATTACCATTACTCTCTATATTTGTTCGAAGGAAAAAATATATGGGAAACTTCGTGTCGAAATAAAACACATTTGATATTCAGTTTTAACATACATAAAATTATTTAGCTTTTAACGTTTTCGATAAAATTTTCAATCTGTATGAAGTTAATTTACATATAGAAAAAAAATATTCCGTGTGTTATCTTCGATTAACGATTGATAAACAGATATCTTTTCAGATTGTGAAACAATAATTCAAAAACCAAATTAAAATTTTTTCGTACTTATCAAATTTTTAGAATAGAATATACATAATATATAGATCACCAAAAAAAAAAAATTTTTTCTTTTCATTATTTTATTTCATTTAAAATATCCTTCCCATTTACAAAGCATCCACGAACGATTTTACAAACTTAAACAAAATTATATCAGAGGAATCTAATATCCTTCTTTAAACTTTCCATTTTATTTCCAACAATTCTCGATTCATACAAATCCCTTCATGAATTTGTATCAAGTTTTACAAATCGCGACCTCGAAATCTGAAAAGGGAGTATCGTGAAAGAAGAAGTTGAATCAAAGTGGAGCACAAAGGTGATTCGTTTACCGTAGCCATATCGGTCCGCCGTCATTCAACATTGAAAACCTGCCGGAAGACTGACCGGATGAAGCGTGACGCTTCTTCTTCCAGCTTCAGAATATCGTTCAACGAAGCAAAAACACGAAGGGTTTTCGTTGTCACGTTTATAACGCGGCTTCGAAGGCAAGAAGTTATTTTAGACAAAGGATATTAGTGTACTACAAACGATACTATTTATCGTTTACGTTTCATAGTTGTAATTTTATTGAACAGTGATCGAAATGAGTCATCGAGTTATTTTTTCTTTCTCGATCAATTTATATAATTGTACTATGTGATTTTGTCAGGAAAGAATGAAGACATTAGAAGAATATATTTATGAAATAGAGACGTATTGTTTAAAAAAATTTTTTTCATTTTTTCATTTGATCTTATATTGGATTATTCTATTATAAATCATAAATTGATATATAAATATTTCATCGCGTAAATAATTCCATTCTATATTAATATTTTTATATTTATTTCCAATCTTAACTTTACCATTTCACGTCTTATAAAACTTTGACATTTCAGTTCTGAACTATTGGATTCGATTAAAATTTTACATTAAAGACTAAAATACTTAATTTCATTCTTTGTGAGAGAAATTTTAAAACTTTTCGAAAACTACTACCCTTTTAACTTTCCTCAAAAGACAATTCATTTAGAGATATCATTTGATCACTTTAATCGATTAATTAACGATCAGAAGAAAATAATCGAAAAAGATATAAACAGACGTAAACATAGATAAATAGAAAGAAAGAAATATAATCAATCCGCGTTATTATATATTCTCATTCGCGTTTTAATTCGGTAATTCTCACAGCTATCGTTTCAACGCTCGAATATATACATAATTTCGCATTTGTTCGAAAAGGTGGATTTGGAAGGAGGATAATCGACGAGGGTAATTAAAACGAACGTTTAATGCATTGGATTACTGAATTTCGTGTCCTCGCGTGCATATTTTCCAAAGTTTTTGCGGTACGGAATTCGAACAGATTTCGCTTCGAATATCAATGGAAAAATTCCGTGGAAATTTCGTCCTATCGGGAGTAATTCACTTTTGGATC